TAAAGAAAATTTAAAAGAATTAACAGTAAGGGGCTTCAGGTTTAGCTCAGTGGTTCTGCTGCCCTCCTTGCAAGTGCAAGGATCCAACTTCAATCCCTGGTATCAAAAAAGAAAAAAAAAATTAACGGTGTAGAAAATAGTGAATGTCAGGTTGATAGTCTGACTAGTTACCAGGGGATGTCTGGTCGCCTGAGCAAGGGTGTAGCAGGGGATGAAAAAATATTATACAAAGAATAAGGAATAAAGAATAATGAACAATAGTTTATTACTTGGGGGGGCCAGAAGTTGCTCTTAGCTCTCTCCTGGCTAAAGACCATGAGCTCTGGATTAGTCAGTATTTATGATTATACAACATAGCAAGGGGGCATGAAGGCAGATGTAAGGAATAGCAAAACTAATGCACTAATGAGCCAGGCTATAAAAGGAGAGTTAACTGAGTATACTTGTGAAGGACAGGTCACAGTTAACAAGTCACCTGTGTTATCTTTAGCTAATATTTGATCTTGGAGAATGGCTGCACAGAGTCATAATTCCTCAGCTGTGGTGTTTCCTTGTTATTAGAGACATCACAACTTCATCAATCATTGAGACCTCAGTTGTGACCATTGGCATAGGGAAGTCTGTCTCCATATACCATTTGAAGGATCAACTAGCCATAAATTCTTAGGCCTTGGAGTGTCATAATTTTAATCAATAGCTGACTTATGCCAGATCAGTAATGTCTAAAGCCTACTCATTGCAGTTTCAAGCTGATCTCCTTGCATGAGAACCCACTGTAGCATTTCTGACTGCCTCCTAATAACATCCCCCTAACAGTCCTATGGAATTAGGCAAATATGATTGTACAGCCCAACAGGAAGAAACAATAGTTTAACAGACCATTTTGGTATAAATATTTTTCTCTAACATGAGAAAATGTTTTGCAGTAAAGTATTTACATTTAGAACATTCTATGGGGGGAAGTTAATTTATGGAGTTGCTCAGTGCTTATAGCCAGATAAGGTGTATTCATTTTATAGACCACAGAGATAATGGGTAATTTCCCTGACTTCTCACAATCTGTCAGGAATGGGTCCATGCACAAGACAAGAATGTCCACTATCAACACTCCTATTCAACATAGTACTCACATTAGCAAGGGCAATCAGGCAAAAAAAAAGAGTAAGTGGGATGTGTATAGCAAAGTAAGAAGTCACACTTTCACTATTTGCAGATGACATGATACTCCACTTAAAAGACCCAAAAACTTTTGACAAAAGACTTCTAAAATTCATAGGCAAATTTAGCATGTAGCAGGATACAAAATAAACACACAAAAATCAATAGCATTCCTGTAGACCAATAATTAACTCCCCAGGAAAGATAGGGAAAAAATGCCATTCACAGTAGCACCAAGAATAATTAAGTACTTAGGCATTAACCTACCCAAGAAAGTGAAAGACCACTACAGTGAAAACTTCAGTACTCTGAAAAAGGAGATTGGAAAGGACATCAGAAAATGGAATGATATCCCATGTTCATGGATAGACCAAACCAATACAGTGAAAATGGCCATACTTCAAAAATTGATATACAGATTTAACACAGTCCCAATCAAAATATCAACAGCATTCTTCACAGAACTGGAGAAAACAATCATAAAATTCATATGGAACTAGAAGCAACCTAGACTAGTAGGAGCTATACTTGATAACAAGAACAAAATAGGAGGTAACACAATCCCAAATTTGAAGTTATATTGCAAAACTATAGCATGGTATTTGTACAAAAACAATTGTGTGGATCAGTGGAACAGAATAGAGGATGCAGAAACAACCCCAGGCATATTAAACTCTTTCATGTTTGATAAAAGGACCAAAAACATACACTGGAAGAAAGCCTTTTTAATAAATGGTACTGGGAAAACTGGATGTCCACATGCAGAAGATTGAAGCTAAACCCATATCTTTGATCATGTACTAAACTAAAATGAAAATGGAACAAAGATCTGAATATTAAATAGAAATATTTGATCTGCTGGTAGATAAAATATGTAAAACTCTTGAAAATGTAGATGTAGGCAAGAACTCTCTAAACAAAACTCCAGTTGCACAGAAAATAATCAAGAATCAACAAATGAAATTCTATCAAATTAAAAAGCTGCACAGCAAAAGAAACAGCCAAAAAGCCAGGCATGGTGGCACACACCTGTAATTCCAGCACTTGGGAGGCTGAGGCAGGAGGATCACTGTGAGTTTGAGACCAGCCTGGGCTACGTAGTGAGTTGCAGGTCAGTCTCAACTACATAGTGAGACCTTGTCTCAAAAAAACCAAACAAGAAAAGCAAACAAACAAACAAACAAAAACAGCCAATATAGTGAGAAGACAAACTACAGAATGGAAAAAATTTGGCCAGTTAGTCCTCAGACAATGGACTAATATCTAGAATATATAATAAACTCAAAAAATTAGACAACCCTTCCAATATAATGGCAACTGAGATGAACAGATATTTCTCAGAAGAAGGGCAAATGGCCAGTCTATATGAAGAAATGTTCAACATCTCTGGCCATTAGAGGAATGCAATTAAAATGACACTGAGTTTCCATCTTATTCCAGGAAAAACTGGCTACCATTGAGAAATCAAATTACAACAAATGATGGTGAGGCTGTGGGGAAAAAGGAACACATCTCCATTGTTGCCGGGAATGTAAACTAGTACAACCACTACAAAAATTTGGAGATTGCTCTGAGAACTGAAACTTGAAATTCCCTTTGACCCAGCCATTCCCCTTCTAGGTATCTTCCCAAAACAATTAAAGACATATTGTAGTGATATATGTGTGTCCATGTTCATAGCAACAACATAGGAATCAGTCTCCCAAAGATTTCAGTGTATAGCAACTAATGGCAAGATTTTACTCATTTAATTATTGAAGAAACCTACCAGGAGCTAAGAACTGAGTAATTGCAGTGTTTTTGGAATAGCTTCAACCACCTACCTCTCTCTTAAGTCATACAACCATATTTTGGGGTCCTACCTCCACTTTGTAGTGAGCCAGCTGTATCTAAGTTTTATGTCTTAATTTTTGAGGGAATAGGATCTTAAATACATGAAATACTCTGTGGGAGAGACAGTATCTAAGCAGCTACCACTGACAGATTGTGGTCTGATCAGTAAAAGGGAGCTGGTGCCAGTAACAATAGCAAGATATGGTTTTCTCCAGTGAACAAGGGCATCTTGTATTTTAGCAAATCTTAAGCTACATGTTTAGTTACTTTCTCATTGCTGGGACAAAATACCAACACCCACAAGTTAAAGGAGGACAGGTTTATTTTGTCTCAGATTGTAGAGATTTTAGTCCATAGTTGTCTGGTTCCAAGGCAGGGTGACATGGCAGAGGAAAAACAGTCCACTGGCATGGCAGGCAGAAAGCAGAGAGAGATCACAAGAGGAGGGGAAGAATACCCTTCCAGGCCACACCACAGTGACCTACCTCTTCTCACCAGGCCCAATGGACCGATCCAGAGATGTGTATCCCACACCTGTGCTTCAATCACCTCCCCAAAGCCCCACTTGTCACCACATGAGGCTTCAGGGGCACATCTATTGTGTTTCCCTGAAAATAATATCTACCTAAAAACTAATCAGCCTTGAAAACTAGCAATCAAAGTCATCAGCCTGTCTTTGCCTTACCTGTCTTACAGAGTACCAGTTGAGCAAGAGAATACTCATGCAGGCAAGACAAGGGTAGGCTAGATGGGCCTAGAATTTTTGATTGTTAGTTTTTAAAGCTGGTCATTTTCTACCTAGGTCTTATAGTGTCTGGGTAAAAAGGGTAGCTATAAACCATTACACTACATATTCTTTAATTTAGGCCAGTCTGATTGTTCAAGAAGATAGCCAGTTATGGCAATGGACAAAGTACAAAATCCTAGAAAGTTAAATATTCCCTTTGCCCTTATAGTAAATATAGTCACAGAAAGTGCATGCTCTTTGCCTTGTGAATTGAGACGGGAATAAAATCATGAAAAATGTGTGATTCTCAAAAATCAAATAAGCTAATTTTATAATGGAATTCCTGGGTTTACATTTAAAACAAGCTTTCATACAGTTGTGCCAGTGAATTATTTTTATGAATAATTATTACCTTTTTTCCTCCAAGGTAGTTATGAATTAATTTATTATTGACTAATGTCTATTAAATAGCATATACTTCTAAAATATTTAAATTGCAGAAAAGAAAATAAATTTATTTAGAAAAGTTAAAGAATTACCTGCTGTTTAAAACTCACCTACTAAAAAAAACAACAAAAACAAATAAGTCTACTCTAGATTCCTCAGATTTATAGCTATTCTAAAGTAGATAATTAGGATGTTGGTGCATTAAGCAAAGATTTGTCTTATTCGATGATTAGATTCATAAATTTCATATATTTTTATATTTCATATACTCTTGAAAATCCCTTAATAAGTCAATATATTGGTATCCAATAATCAATATTAGAAAATCAGATTATATTGTTAGCTTGTGTTCAAAACCAGTATTGTCTTTTAGAGTGTGTACTTTCTCTTTAAAGCCTAGAGCAGTAGTGGCAAACCTATGTCACACATATCACCAAGGGCTGTTTGTATCATTGAAAACTCCAAAAGCTTCGCCATAACTGCCCTAGAGAGTCATACTTCATATGGAAAGGTGCTCAGACTATGACAGATGCGTGGACTTATGAGCAACTGAGAAACTGGCAAATTCATATCACCTGCATCATGCTTACTCAAGACTGTGCTTTTTGAAAGTCAAGCATAATTGCCAACACTATTAATACATAAGTGGTCATTTTTCTTTCTATTATTGCTGAGCTAATTGTAGTTGAATTTGTGATAATTAGGTTTGTAAAGATACAGCTCTATATACTACATGATTATTTTGTTATGTTAAAAGTTCTACCTGAATTTTTGTATGTTTTCATCCTTCAAATAAGAAGGATGCTATACTATATCATTCCTTTATTCTTTGCAGATAATGGATTCTGAATTAATGCACAGTATAGTAGGAAGCTATCTTAAACCTCCAGAAACAATGTTTGTCCCACCATTTATCCAGGATGAATCGTCTCAGAAATGCCACGCTGTGAACTTAGAAGTTACTGCTCCTAAAATGCGTCATAGTCCAAATAGCCAAGGTAATGCTAATAAAAACTTTACACAAAACTAGAAATGGTACAAAGTATGTTATAAAAACTTGCCTTATGTTCTTGTTCATTTATTTATTTAGTAGTACTGAGGATTGAACACAAGTCCTTCACAATGTGCTATGCCCCTGCCTGCCCCACTTTTCCCAACACCTTTTGTTTGCAGTGGGGTCTCACTGAGTTGCCAGTTTGGGTTTGAATTTGTAGTCCTTTTGCCTCAGCCATTTTTATGTAGGAAAAAATGGTTGTGTATTTAATTTTTATAAAATTCCTAATTTTACTGTATTCTAAATTTCTATAAACAACTTACCATTTTTTATTTTGGCTTCTTACTCTATAAGGTGAATATATAGCACAAGTTCATCATAAAAACATCAGTTAATGACTGAGAATTAATTCAGTGGTAGAGCATGCCTAGCATATTGAAGTCCCTGGCTTCAATCCCCAGGACAACTGAGAGAGAGAGGAGAGGAAGAGGGGGACAGGGAGAAAGAGAAACATAATTTATAAAATAATACAGTACTCTATAAAGAATAAAAGGTCAGATTTGGAATCTTTCTAAACTACATGATTAGAATGCTAGTGAATTAAATAGTGGTGTGTGCTAGTTAGTGATTAGACTCAGACATTGCATATATCCAAAAGTATCCTTTAAAATTATTTTAGAAGTCACTATATCCAAGTAACTACACAATATGAGTATTGTAACTTTTTAAATATAAATGCAGGAAGATCTTAAGATCGAATTAGGAAAATATGTATCACTCTGGGCATACCTTATGCTATATAAATTACCTTATAAGATGCCAATTTTTGCCTTCTTTTTTAAAATTCTCTAATAATGGTTGCCATTAATAAATAGATTAGCTTTGTAGAGTAAACTACAAGAAATAATAATTCAAATCAATGAGCCAGCTACATGTACCAAAAGGACAAAATAAGTATATTTTTATCTCATTTGTAACAATCAAATTATAACCTCTAGCAAACATCTTTCTAATAGAATATAAACTACATAAGTTAACATAACATTTATATTCTATTCATCAGTAATTTTAGTTTGATATTACAACTAAATGAATATAAAATAATATTTGAAAATTTTATAGCTCATGAGATATGTTAGAAAAAAATGTATCCCCCTTTAGAGTTTTAGTTTATTTTTATGAGGAATATACATGACTTGTACATTTTTCTGACCACTAACAAAAATGTACTGCTCATTTTTTTATGTTATTCTATGTTACTGTGATTGTAAATTTTCAAAAAACTTCCACTTAAAACATAAAGTAAATTTTCTTCTTTTCAACAGCTCTTATTTTGGCCTTAAAAACTCTTCAGGATAAGATTCATCGTTTAGAGCTAGAAAGAACCCAAGCTGAAGATAACCTGAACATACTTTCTAGAGAAGCAGCTCAGTACAAAAAGGCCTTGGAGAATGAAACAAATGAGAGAAATCTGGCACACCAGGAACTGATAAAGCAGAAGAAAGGTAAATGGGTGGGGGGAGGTGTATCAAAGTTTACAATTTGAAAATAATAAACCCAGTCTAGGCAGATGTATTCAGATACCTTTGTTATTGTATACATTGAAAGTATGAGCACTTATTCTCAGATATTTTAATATTTACAGGAAGTTAATGTAACTTTGAACTTACCTCTGTTGTATGTTATCCAAGTTCAAAAATTCTTGAGTTGAAAAGTAAAATATTTTTAGATAAATTGTGTTTAGAAATTAAAATATTTTCAGAATAACCAGCAAACTCAAGTTTAACATATAATTTAAATGCTTTATACTTTAGGTTAACACTAATTTTTAAAGTTTGAAGTATAAAGCAACTGTAGTAATTAAACAAAATGAATGAAAAATAATTGTCTTTAACATAAAAGGAAAACAAGATTAATTAGAGCAAATAGGCAAACAAGTAGAGGCTTTTATGGAAATTATGAAAAGGATTAAGATGCCAGGGTTTTGAAAATTTAGAATGTAAGTTTTTTATATAATTGAACTTCACCACTATAGGGTTTTTCCATTGTAACACTACACTCATTCTTATAAACAAAGCTCAAGTTTGTGTTTCACCTTGCAAATAGAAAAGAAAAAAACTGTCTGAGGCACCAGAAGAAAAGTAGAAGAAAGAAAGGAGGAAAGGGAGCTCCAGTTATGCAATCAGTCAATGTGCAGTACTTATACAGGGAGAACGGAGGGAAAGAAAAAGTTTAAAAGTTAGAAATAGGTTACTTACCCCTTATGAATTAACTATATGGTCAGTAGTCAAAGCAAAGGAAAATAGGAGTAGCACAGAGTATATTCCTGAGTTTCCTGGAAAAGAAGCTTATTTATGCCTAAGGGACTTCTCTTTCTGTAGATGATAGTACTTTATCATCCCAAAAGTCATTGGCATCCTCTCCTTTTAGAAGTATGCCTTATGGGTTTTTAGGGGAAAACAGTATTAAACCAGTTGCAACTATTAACAAGGTATTGGCAGAATGTATGTTTAAAGTCAGTACTTACAGGCTATTGTGGCTTTCCTCATGATAGCCCACCCTGTGTCCTCCAGGGCATACTTTTATCTTGCTTTTTCCTGTTTTGCTCAGACTCAGCTTGTTCCTCAGAGCCAGTTTCTGCTTTACTCTTCACTTTTACATTTTCAAATAAATGTTGCTACCATTAAAAAAAAAATAAAGTAAAATATTTAAGTCAGTACTTACAGATAAAAGAAGCTTGGACTCTAAGCTCTTAATTGAATTTTCATAATGCATTTCTCATAACTATACTATATCTCTATGTGGTGAACAATTGACTGAATCATTCTTTTGTCTTTTTCATAGATATAAGTATACAGTTAAGCTCAGCCCAGTCTCGTTGTACTCTTCTAGAGAAGCAACTAGAATATACAAAGAGAATGGTTCTCAATGTAGAACGAGAAAAAAATATGATACTAGAACAACAGGTGAGCATATTTTCTATAAAGAATGATCGTATAATTTTACGTTTTTGAAGAATACTTAATATGAGAAAATTATAAACTAGGATATAAAGCTATGTGTAGGAAATTTCCAGCTACAGTACCGATGGACTGTGTCACACCAACTTTTTTTGCAAAGAAAAACTGGATATAATTTTTAAAAAAGAAATGAAAAAGCAAAAGATGCACAAAGGCATTGGAGAACTAATAAGTCAGTGAAAAGTGACTAATTCAAAATCTTTGTACACACTTAAATCCAAAGAGCTTGGCTTGATGTCAGGTGACTTCGGAAGGCATTTTGGATTCCAGAAGAGAGAGTTGAGAGGCTAAACAATACCATTGGCAACCATCTTTCTGGGGCTAAGAAAATTAAAATTAGAGTACAGGGCCTTCCAAGAATAGGAACCTTAGCAAATCTTGTGTTCTGAATGCTTTGAAAGGGTGAGCGAGAAGGAAAGCAACCCAGATTACAACCCTATTTCATGTTGTCAGGGTGGCCTCAAAAGCCTGAAAAATCCTGAAATTGGATTAAAATGATCCTGTAATACTAGCATTCTCAAGGACCTTAAATTGTTTCTACAAATATTGCTTCAACACAGTGAGCAGCTTTCAATCAAATATAATGAGGCCAAAGAAGGTAAGAATTTATCAACAAGAAACAGCATCCATGACACACTCCACAAGCTAGCTCCAGGGAGTATTGGCACTAACACTGACTTTAAAATAATCATGCTCACATTCGTCACGAAGATAAAAGACAGGGTAGAAATTTTCAGTTGAGTATTAGAATCCATAATATGGCAAAGCAAATTTGAGAATCAAAAGTTGAAGAACTGAAAAAAAATACAGTAACTGAAATTTAGAACACAGTGGATAGATGTTACGGCAGATTAGAAAAGACAATTAAATGGAAGTAGAAACCATCCATATTAATGAAAAGAAAAAATTATAGTAAGTTCAGAAAACACAGAGGCATCATTTCGGAGTGAGAAAGTCTGACTTAGTGTCCCTGGAATTTCAAAAGGAAGGGAGGAGAATGGAGCAGAAGCAACATGCAAAGAAGTAATGGGTAAGTTTTCCAAAATGGATTAAAAAGTAAAATCATACCACACACTCAAGAAGCTCCATAAAATCAAGCAAAATAAATATGAACAAAGATATACATAGATACCTCATAATAAAATAAAAATAAAATCAGCCAGAAAAAATTATTACACTCAAAGAAACACAAAGTAACAGCTAACTTATCAATTGACAGTACTGAAATCCAGAAGACAGAAGCTGATAAAACTTAAGGTATTAAAAGAAAATAAATACTGACCTAGAATCCTCTGCCTGGTGGAAATATCTTTAAAAGAACACAATTGGGGGCCAGGGATTTAGTTCAGTGGTTCTGTCACCTGCCTCGCAAGTGCAAGGTCCCAAGTTCAATCCCCAGTACTAAATAAATGAATGAAAGAATGAACACAACTGCAAGACTCATATAACTGATTTTAAGACTTCTTGTAAATCCAGATAGTCTTGATATGAGGAGAGACCAGTAATAGTAACAGAAATAGATCCTACCCATATAATCAACTATATTTGATTGACAGCTATGCCAAAATTATTTAGTAGGGAAAAGGAAAGTCTTTTAATAAATGGTGCTGCAACAACTGGACATCCACAGAAAAAACTTAGCCTTGAACATGTTCTCTCACCATACAAAAATTAACTCCAGAGGGATCACAGGCCTAAATAGAAAAATGAAAACTAAAAGCTTGTAGAAGAAAATGTTTTAGTAAATAGTGTGATAGTTTCTTCCAAAGTCAAATACTCATCTGTTATGGTTCAGCAATTTTACTCCTGGATATTAACTGAAGAAAATTTAAACATGTCCCCAAAAACATTTTTACAAATGTTCATAGTAGCTCTACTCGTTTTTTGGGTTTTGGGTGTTTGTTTTTTGGTACCAGGGATTGAACTTGGGACCTTGTGCTAGTGAAGCACTGAACTAAATCCCCAGCCCATAGTAGCTCTATTTGTAATGTTCCCAAGATCCAAACATAGTGTTGCACACGACTAGTGTGCTGATGGAATTTGGGAGGCTGATGGAATTTATAGAGAGAAACAAAGATCCAAGTATCACCAGTTTGTTCTGAAGAAGAAAAAGGTAAAGATCTTGTTCTACTAGATTCCATCTACCTATCACTTTATAATTTTATTGTTTTGGTTTTTTTTTAAGGTAAAATTTATTTTCATTTTTGGGGTTTTTTTTGTTCACTTTCTATTTCAATGATTCCAATTTTATTATTTCTTTCTGCTTATATAAGGCTTAAATTACTCTTTTAGGGGAATGTATATATTTTTATTTTTTTATTTTTCACTAACATGTTTGCAGTACAAAATAATTATATTCTTTGTGGGGAGTTTCTACATGCACATAACACATCTTAATTCTTTTTTATTTCCTTCGCCTGTTCTCCTGCCCCCTCTCTGTCCCTTGTTCCGCTTCCCTTTTGAGAAAGATCCGTTTCCCTACTTCTCATCATCTTTTATTTTGCTCTTTATATTTTGGGTTTTTCATATAGAAACCATGCTATTTGCTCTTTTTTTCTTTGTGCATTTATTTATTTGTTTGTTTGTATATGTTTGCCATACACACTGATCACATTCGTCAATGGGGAATTTGTACCTGTGCATAATATATCTTAATTCTTTTTTTCCCCCATTCTCCTTACCTCCCTTCAGCCCTTCCCCTCCCAATTTATAAAAGCTCTGTTTCCATATTTTTCTTTCAATTCTCTTTTTAAACCCTTTTTCCTTCCTTTTCCTTCTCCCACCCTTTCCCCTTCTCATTTGTACAAGTTCTTCCTACTTCCCTCTATCCTCTATTTTGCTATTGGAGCAAATAATACAGTATTTAAACTTGTATGTCTGATTTATTTCACTTAAGATTATGGTTTGAGATTCATCCATTTACCTAGAAAGTCTCAAGTTTATCCTTCTTTATGGCAGAATAATACTCTATTGTATATAAATACCACATTTTCTTTATCCATCTGTCTGTTGATGTGCATATGGTCTGTTTCCAAGATTTAACTATTCTAAATTGTGCTGCTATAAATGTGGCTATGCATGTATCACTGTGATATGATGACTTTGACTCTTTCAGGAAGATACTTAGAAGGGGAATCACTGGGTGGAACTTGTAGTTTTGATCGTTTGAGGAATCTCCATACTGATTTCCATAGTGGTTGCATGAATTTACACTCCCATCGATACTGGAGAAGGGTTTCTTTTTCCCCACAGCCTCATCAAGATTTGTTATTGATTGGCTTCAGGAGTGAGGTAGAATTTCAGTGTTGTTTTAATTTGCATTTCTTGAATGACCATTGATATTGAACACTTTTTTCATGTATTAATTTGCTGTTGTACTTCTTCATCTGTGCCATTTTTTTATTGGGTCTTTAAATTTGAGGGATCTGATTTTGTTTTGAGTTCTTTATATATTTTAAATATTAGTCCTCTGTCTGAGGAATAACTGGCAAAATTTTTTCACCATTCTGTTGTTTGTCTCTTCACTCTGTTGGTGGTTTCTTTTGTTGTGCAAAAACTTCTTAATTTGATGTGATCCCACTTGTTGATTCTTTGTAATATTTCCTTTGTAGTTGGGGTTTTGTTCATAAAGTCTTTCCCTACACCTATGTCTTCAAGACTTTTACCTATTCTATCTTCCAGCAGATTGTTTCTGTTTTAATACTTAGAACTTTAATCCATTTCAATTTTAGTTTTGTACATGGTGAGAGATATGGGTCTAGATTTAATCTTTGGCACATTGAAAGCCACTTTTCCAAGTACCATTTGTTAAAGAGGCTTTTTTCCAGTGAAGATGTTTGGCCACTTTGTCAAAGATAAGGTAACTACCTGAGTGTGCTTAGAGTTGTTTCTCCATCTTCTATTCTGTTCCATTGATCCTCAAGTCTGGTATTTTTTGTTGTTATTGCCCCCCCCACATCATGCTGTTTTTATTGCTTTGTAGTATCACTTCAAATCAGTGATTTGTAGTTTTGTAGTATTGCTTCAAATCAAGGATTGTGATGCCCCCTGCCTTACCTTTGTTGTCTGGAATTGCTTTTGCTATTCTACATCTCTTTGGCTCCTTTTGAATTTTAGGATTGTTTTCTCTAGTTCTGTGAGAAATTATATTGATATTTTGATTGAAATTGCATTGAATCTGTGCTAGTTTTAGAAGTATGGCTATGTTGACTGTATATATTGGTTCTGTCTATCCAAGAGCAAGGGATAGCTTTCCATTTTCTGATACCCTCTTTGAGGGCTGTAGTTTTCACTGTAGAGATTTTTACCTTCCTTGCTTAGATTGATTCCTATGTATTTCATTTTTCTTGATGCTAGTATGAAAGGTGTTATTTCCCTAATTTTTTTCTCAATGAGTTTGTTGTTGGTCTACAGGAATGCTGATAATTTTTCATATCCTGCTATATTACTGAATTTGGTTATTAATTCTAGGAATCTTTCAATGGAGTTTTTGCAGTCTTCTATATAGAGTCATGTCATCAGCAAACAATGATAATTTAATAATTTTCTTTCCTTTCATTATTCCTTTTATTTCTTTCTCTTGTCTAATTGCTCTGGCTAATGTTCCCAGAACATATATTGAACAGGAGTGATGATAGTGGACATCCTTGTCTTGTTCCTGATTTTAGAGTGAAAGCTTTCAGTTTTTATCTATTTAGTATGAGTTTGGCTATTGGTTTGTCATAGATGGCTTTTATTAGATTGAGATAAAGACCATCTATTCCAGTTTTCTTTAGAGTCTATTATGAATGGATGTTGGACTTTGTCAAATGCTTTTTCAGCATCTATTGAGATGATCCTGGTTCTGTCAGTGTGGTGTACTCCATTTATTGATTTGTGTATGTTAAACCATCCCTGCATCCCTGGGATAAATCCTACTTTGTCATGGTGTATAATCTTTTAGATGA